CAGGGAACCCGACAGCAGCAGCCACATCTGTCTCTTGTTCCCTTCACATTGCTACTGCTTAGATTGAGCCATGGACCTTTTCTTAGTAGCCAGATGCTTGCGAGTGCACCACAATGAAGAAATATAACCACTTCGCTATAGTTATTCCATAATATTAATGTATCTATCATTAGGGAACCCTGGTGGGTTAGTAATGCTGCCACCCCAAAGGTAAGTGGCTTCATGCCATGATTTGTGCCCCAGGGGGAACTGAGAACTCGCCTCCCTCAGATTTATAACCTCTGAAACCACAGTGGAGGGTCAGTGTGAGTCACCTCCAATTTGACAATACACTACAGCAGCAACTACTTCTGTCTGTGGTTTCAAATCAAGGCGACTCTCGACTAGATGTCCTGAATGGTAGATCTTCATGGGAATAGACTGCCCTTTTTCCCCCTCCCAAAGTGCGCTGGTGTATACAAACAGCTGATCTTTCAGTTACAGTACATCATGCACCTGTAACCAGTGTAGGACTCCTAACCAGTGTAACATACCTATCATATTTACTCATACTGTCCTTGAAAAAGGCCTACATATCAGAATATCCCAGTAACTGTGAACAAAACAGGCCCTAGATACTGGTTTCTCATACTCCAGTGTAAGACTCACAACTTACTGGAGAAATGGCTGATGCTAGAACCAGAGCAAGCAATAAATAATATTCCGGACCATCTATTAGTGCCAAAAGCAAAGAACTGGCAAGAACCAATATCATTCTCAATGGAGAAACACTGAAATAATTTTCCTTGGGAACAGGGACCAGAAGGATGCCCACTTTTACCATTCTATTCAGTATTGTGTTGGAAGTACTTGCTAAGCCGATATGGGAAGAGAAGGAAATAAAGGCATTTCTGTTTGAAAAGAGATGGTTAAAAACAAATGTAAACACAGATGCATAATTATGGATTATGTCAACAAAACACAATAGCCAATGAAGGAGTTCTCAGTGACTAAAGCTGAAACAACCTGAACAAAAAAATTAGTAACAAACACCTATTTATGAGTCTATATTGATGTAAACAAATGATTAGAACAGAGAGAAAAGCAGTAGGTGCAGTGGAGAAATTGGACAAACACTGCTCAGTCAAGTGATTATTGACAGTGTCAACAGTGTATCACAGCATAATGAATATTATACATGTCATATGAGGTGATGAATGTGGTCTCCCCCCCCCCCCACCAATAGAATCCAGTATAATACTGAGAGGGAGAAAACCCTCTTAAAGGATGTAGTACAAATTCCTTGACCACTATTCCTCAACTCTTTGAAGGTCATAAATATCAGGGGTGTCTAAGAAGCTGTCACAGGCACAAGTCATCATGGGACTAAATGTAATGTCATGTCTTGAGCAGGATTGACGTTGACACAGAACTAGGTGGTGTGCAAGGAGGTGATAGCTGAGGAAAGCAGAGTTAATGCATCAATTTCCATATAGGGTCAATAATTAATAGCAAATGTACCATATTAAGGTAACATGTTAACTGTAGTAACTATGTATGATATACTCTGAAGTTTTTCTGTAATTCTAGAGTTAAAAAAACCCACCTAAAACCAACCTTTGTGTAAGAATAAAAGAATAAAAACTCCTTATGCATCATCACCTCACATGAAATGTATACTATCATTATGATTTATCACTGTTGACAATCACATTCACATACACCGTATTGGTTGTTAGTTTGTTAGCTCCTAAAGAGCGTGAGATGAAGACTAGTTTGAAAGAGGGTTTGGCATTGGCCTGTTAATTTAAAAAGTGAGAGACTTGGATTCACTGGAGTCTTTGTTGAAGAACAGTTCTGGAGATTTACGGCCTTGGAAACTTGAGGGTGGTTCTACATGGTTCTCTAAGGACTCCAGCGAGCTCAGGTGGCATAGCCTGTAGGGAATTGTGTGCTGCATCTCAGCGGTTCCACAAAAGAAAGATGGCAAACTTCCTCCCATAGGATTTCCAGCATCCTGAAAACCTGATTATGTGTCAGCTGTGAATCATTTCCGGCTCCGCGGCAGTGAGTTCCAGTGTTCAGTAGAGTTTTTGTGGGTCAGTGAGGGGATGGGTGGGGCTTGGCACAGGCGCAATGGTATTAGGTTTGGTTGGAGAGAGATGAAATGAAATGAAAGAATACTATAAAGGAATCCAAACATACAAAGAAATGCATTTCACATTTTCTGGAAGCAAGAAGAGATGTCTCTTCTCCCTGTGGTTGTAGGTGTTCCTCAAGTAGCCACGTGACAGAACTTAACCTTGCAAAGGACATAACCTGACAGCAAAGGACGTATATTTACAAAGCTCCACTTCAGTGTCAGAGAGCAGGACAAATAAGGGGGAATTGGGAGCTGAGGGCTAATAAATTGATAACAGAAAACAACCAAGTGGTCCGTTAACAGAGTTTTATGATAGATCCATTATTGCATTTACCAACGTAATCTCATGTGTAAATTTGATTAATCATTCATTGCGTTTATATATAAATGGAAATCTATAAGAATTAATGACATACTTACAGACTTTTTCTCAAATTACCTGTGTCTCTGAAACAAGAAACCAATATGGTAGTAGCTTTTCTTTACAAATCTAGTTTGGTGAAAGGAGAGTGGAAGGAATTAAAGAGGTAAGCTCTTGTCAAAGGAGCCCTAACCAAAAAGATGGTGGTTTGAACCCAGGAGCTGCCCCGAGCCAAAGAGAAAGATGTGTAATCTGTTTCTGTCAAGATTACAGGCTTGGAAGTCCTCGGTGGGTTGTAGGTCTCCTCTGTCTTTACTGGATCACCGAGCCAGCCAGATGGCAGTGGTAAATTTTAACAAAACAGGGGGATGGGTTGGTTCATTGGCCTGTTGCTATATTCCCAGTTATCAATAGTGGTCTCAGCTTTATTGGGTGACTAATAGTCCACGTGTATGGTCACTTTTTGCGTATTTTTAGAACATGTATTTGCATTGAATAAATCCTTGATTATACAAAACTCTTGTCATTCTTTCAGCTTCTATACACCCTCCTTTGTCACCAAGCCCACCACCAGTTTTTGACTACTAAGCCTTTTTTCTTGTTCCCAACTTTTGCATTTCATTCACCAGTTGTGTACTGCATCTTGGTTGCATAGTCTATTGATTTCAGACTGCAAAAGTTGGTAGAAGTTTTCTATTTCCCCCTCCTCTTTGACTTTAGTTGTTGGCATGTGTATTTGAATGATAATGGATGGTATTAGCAGGCCTTCTGTGTATACATATAGATATTATCCTGTCACCATGTTGTACTTCAGGATGGATCTAGATAGAAATGGTCATTTTGACTATTAATAAAGCCAATTTTTCATTATTTTTCCATTCCCAGCATAGTAGAGCATATGATTTTCTGATTCACACTGTCAATGCCAGCACTTATAGAAAACCTATTCCTAGACCAAGATGTTATTGTCCAAACACAGTAAGGGAAGACGGCATGGTTGAAAATCCAAGAAAGCAGTGCATCAAAGATGTATCCTTTCTTCATACCTTTTCATTCTGTATGCTGGACTTCATGAAGAGGCATCAGGATTAGAGGAAGACTTATCAACAACCTGTGTTAGGCAGATGACACATCTTGCTTGCCAAAACAGAGGAGGACTTGAAGCATTTGGTGCAGAAGATCAGGAGGGACTGCAGATTTCTATATGGATTGAGTCTCAACATCAGGAAAACAAAAAAAAGTCCTCACCACTGGGCCCATTGGCAGCATCATGACAGATGGAGAAAAGATTGAAATTGTTAATGATTTGATTTTGCTCAGATCTGCAGTTAACACTTTTGGCACCAACACTCAAAAGGCAGAAATCAAAACAAGAGCTGGTTTGGGAAAGTCTGCTGTCAAGGACCTCTCCAGCGTGCTAATGAGCAGTGATGTCTGTCTAGAGACTCAGGTGTACCCAATCCAAGCCAGGTTTTTCTCAGTTGCTTGATAATCATCTGAAAGCTAGCCAGTGACAGTAAATAAGGATGACAGAGGAAAAATCAGTGCCTTTGAGGTGTGGTGCTGGAGAAGGAGATTGAACATAACCATGGACGGCCAAGAGAATGAACAGATCTATCTTGGAGAGGATGAAATCAGGTTGTTCCTTGGAGCCAAGAATTTTGAAACTTTCTCACATACATGGCACATGTTGTCAGGAGGGGCATGTTGTCCTTGTGGGAGGGCATCATGATTGGAAAGTAGAAAGTAAACACAAGAGAGGATGATCATGAATAAGAGGAATTGACGTGATGCCTGTATCATTGGAGTCAGTTGTGTTGGAGATAGTACCTCAGGCTAGTGTAGAGTTCAGAGTGCTTTTTCGTAGGGTCGCTATGAACTGTGGTTGCCTTAATGGGATACAGCAACAACACTGGATGACTGGATGCGAAGTACTTGAGTATGGAAAGAAATATTTTACTGAAAACATTTCTGAGAAAGTGGTGAAGTTCAAAGAGAGTATGAAATAAATATCAGCAGGGCCAGATTAAATGATCATCTTTAACAATGTTTATTCCTTTACAAAATAGTAAGAAAAATGTAACACAGTTATAAGAAGAACTATTAAACATTTTCATTCTTTTATTTGTGAACATACACTTTCTTGTTTATAATCTTTCTATTAAAACCGAAAGTGTCTTGTAAAAAAAAACCCCACTTACCCCCCATAGGAAATACTTCTCTTAACTCTAAATCCAAATCTAATCCACTACTGTTGTGTTCATTCCACCTCCTGGCATCGGTCCTGCAGGTTTTTGAGGCTGCAGATATTAACAGGAGAAAGTACACCTTTCTCACAAGGAGCACTCATGCATTCAAACTGTACATCTTCTAGTTAATCCACTCCAGTCCAACAAGTAATCCACTGTACTATAAATACCTTTCATGAGATCAAATTTAATCTGAGATAATTTGGCATAAAACAACATAAGCATGCATTTAATTCTTTAATCCTTTTTTCCCCATCTCTCCATTCAGTCTACAAATAAGAAACCTCGAAAATCTCCTGGAGAGAAGAGCAGAATTGACGCTGGAATTAGAGGGGCAGGCCGTGGAAGAGCTAATGGGCACCCGCAGCAGAATGGGGAAGGGGAACCCGTTACATTATTTGAGGTGGTGAAACTGGGGAAAAGTGCAATGCAGGTAAATTTTTAGTGTTTTTTTCCCCTTTGTGTCCAAAACAGAACACTCGGTAATTTATGTGAAACTCAATTGTGTGGAGAGTTTATAGTTGGTATTGATTATGTAATCCAGAAATTTATCTGGTTATCTATAGTGTCAGGAATACCATTCTGTTTAATAGTTACATACATTTTGGAGTACATTTTGTTGAGTATATTGAGTTTGACAAAATGATAGCTGTGTAAGATTTTGAAAAATACGGTTTTAAAATTTAATTTATAAAAAGAATGTGTGTATTGCAAGTGTTTGAAAGATATAAAAGGTATAAATAGTGAATTAAGAATAACTCTAAATAATATGGTAAGTTTTTATATTTATTATTGTGATCTTTTAAAACCTTAAATTCTTTTCTCTTTTACTCAACAAACATGAAATACTTTCCAAGAGCAGTTTTATTGGCTTCTTAATAATTATAATAGTGAAACATTTATCATGCATTTAGTGGATCTTTTATTATTTTAAAGTTTATTCATTATGTTTATTTCTCTATGTTTAGTCGTTTTAAAATACTAGAGGTAAAATTGTTTAGTGGTACTTGATTTTTACCTTTTGTGCTACATAAATACTGTATTACTCTCAAAATTTTATCAGTGCTTCATTGGAAGCAATTCTTTTTCTTTACCAGTAGTTTGAGTTGTATATGAATCCTGGGATTGGGCAATTTGATAAACCAGCCACTACCAACCTAAGGTTAGGTGATTTGAACCTACCTAAAAGTGTGTTTGAAGGAAGGCCTGAAGAGCAGCTTCACAAAGTCAAAACTTTGACAATACTGCCAAGCAGAGTTCTGTTCTCCAACATTTGGGGATTCCAGGAGTTGAAATAGACTGTACAGTGGTTGTCTTCTAGTTAGTTTGATATTTTACAGTTGAGTATTACTTGATAACAATATCTGTCAGACAAGCATTTTACTGAAATGAACGGATGAAGGACATTTCGCTTACAGAAATAACCAATACATTTAGTGTTCCCCTCCCGCCCATCCCAGCACACGTGTCTTGGACCTTTCCTTTACCTGCTACATCAGCATACCTTGCACTTCCACAGCCTCACCCAGCACCTCCCTCCCCACAGCCACCTCTTGGTTTAAACCACAAGTCACTTCTGTGATGTCTTGCACCTTGCAAAGCTGCTGGTCTCTCTCACTGATGTCTGTCATGCATTTAGGAGGATGTAAGTCCAAATCCCATGTACCAGCTTCAGGGAAAGATTTTTGTCTGAGGCAGTAGTGAGGAAAGGTTCTTGCCCCTGAGCTTTTGTTCCACAACTGTCATTGTGAGACTTAGTGTCTCTGCTCTTCCTTTTGCATCGCATTGTTGTCACAGTATGATAATTTCTGAGGTGAGGGCTAGGTCTCCTCTATATCTGATATGCTGGTGTTATTATTACTTGATAATGCAGGTAGAAAAGAAACAGTTTGCAGGTTTTTTTTATCATTATTTCTTGAAAAGTTAAACCTTTAATATTTGCTTTTGTTCAATTTTTCCATTTTCATTTATTTAAAACTACATTTAGAATTAAAAACAGACAACATATTAATCATGTAATCTGTCTTTTAACTTGTTGATATCTAGCTGATTCACATTCATTGTGAATCTCTCTCTCCAAGCTATAGCAATAATATTATGAAATTTCTTTTATTCTCGCCTATATGTAGAAACAAGAAAAAGCCAGAAAATGGAAGTGGTTTGTTTTTATGTGAAAATTTTAAAGATGTGCTTCACTATTTGGCTTTTAAATTTTCAAATAAAACTTTACAATTATTTTGTGGCCTAGCTGTAAGGAGTTGTGCTGCCAACCTAAAAGCCACTCCACTGGAGAAAGATTGGCTATTTCTTCTCCTGTGATTTACAGCCTCTAAACCCCCCTGGAGGGTAGGTTGTGAGCCCAATATGATTCAATAGCACATTCATGTATATCTATGCACACACATACGCACATGCTTATATGTAGGTAACCCTTTGTGCCCAAGTGTACAGAGTGAAAGTGCTCCATAGGGTTTTCAGGACTAGAACTTTTCAATTATTTTTTTCTTTTTCTTTTAGGGTGAGTTACAAAGTTAATGGTTTTCAGTTCAATCCTCATACAAATTTTGTTCTAACATTCTCTGGTACTTTAATGTAATCAATCACACTTTTTTCAGTTCTCATTTCCATTAATTTTTCTATCCTACCCTTCCAGCCTTCTGGGGCATGTCCTTGGGCCAGTGAGCTCTTTGACATTACATACTGTTATTTCTAAGTATTGAGTGCTCCCCTGCTGTTACTGATACCTTTCAGGCCTATCTTTTGTTTGACTGAACACTGAGCCATGAAGGGGAATGTTGTTCCATGTCCCAAAGGTTTACAAAAGCTTAAAGTCCTGGAGACCCTGCCAGTCTGTATCAGACCAGTAAGCCTATCACATGATGTATAAGGTGCTGCATTACCATGCTAGCTTTCGTTGAAACATTTTGCCTCTTCATGAGGAATATAGGTCCATAATTTTACTTTTTAGTGGTCTTTGCCTGGCTTTCATATCGTGATTAGACTTGCTTAATAAGAAGATTTGGAAGTATTATTTTTTCTATATTATGAAATTGCTTGAGTAAAATTGATGTCAACTCTGCTATAATTGTGTAATAGAATTAACTAGTAAAGCCGTCTGGGCCTGGGCGTTTTTTGTTCTTTTTTTTAAAGACATGTGTCCAAAACATCAAACTGGGAAAGATGGAAATTCAGAGAAGGAGAGGAAGGCCCTCAACAAAGTGGATCAACATAGGACTATAACAGTGTAACAGTAGGCTGGAGTACCCAGAAATTATGAGGATGGCATTGTTAGGGCAAGAGTCGGATCTTTTGTTCATGGGATTGGTGTGAGTTGGAGTGACTTGATGGTACCTAATAACATATGAATCTGTAAGGAGCTTTGGTGACCTGATAGTTAAGGAATTGCCCTGCCAACTTGAAGACAGGTGGTTCAAATCTACCAGCTGCTCTTGTGATAGTAAGTGGACATTCTGCTGTGTGAGTCACCGCCTCTGAAAGCCTTTAGGAGGGGTAGCTCTGAGTCAGTTCAGTTCTGACTCCACAGCAGGGAACCACCACAGCTCAGTTTCTTCTTCCATGGTATGTCTTTTAAAATTTTTACTTCTTGTGTTATTTTAGGTAGGCAGAGTTTCTAAAAATGTGCCCATTTCCTCTAGGGTTTGAAATGTGTTGGATCATACTACTTCATAATATTCTGTTATTTCATTTGGTTCTGTTGTGAGACAGCCTGTTAACTTCTTATTCATGTTACTTGCTTTTTTCTTTTGTTAGATTTGTTAGAGGCTTGTGTACTTTTTAAAATCCTTTCAAAGAACCAATTTTTAGTATTTTTTTTACATTTGTTCCTTTGTTTTTGGTTTTTGTTTCATTTTTTTTCTGCTCTTATAAACCACAAATCAAACCCATTCCTTGCAAGTCGATTCTAAATGGTGGTAACTTTTCATTAAGTCAGAGAATATTCGCAGGCTTGCCAGTCTTAATCCCCCTGAGCATCTGGAAACTGAACATTGCTGTCACCTACCAACCATACTCCCACCCCCAGCCTGACACTGCTTTACCAGGTCTCTTGTATTTCTGCTCTGTTGTTGTTTTTATTCATTGCTGTCGAGTCAAGCACAACTCATATTGACCCCATGAACAAAAGACCTAATATCTTTCTATATTACTGTTGCCATTTCTCTTAGTTCATAGACATAGGCATGTGGTTTAGGAAGTAGATGCCACTCCTGCTTCCAAACCTGTTTTACAACTGGGACCTCGACCAAACACTATGCACATTGGGAAACCATTATGGGATTTCACATCCCAATGGCACAAGGTTCAGCGTCACAGCAAACCTGGGTTTCAGGTTTGCCTCAGTTTAGCAAATTTGGCAAAAACTGATGATGTGCAAAGTAGAAAAGCATTCCTCCAAAATGTAACAACACTAGTCTCAGTTAGTAGTGATTTAAGAGTCAGGTCAAATATGACTTATAGCGACCCTATGGAAAAAAGACCTGGACTCTGTTCTACGGTTAGCATTATTTCTTTATGCTGATAGAGTTTATAGAGTTTCCAGAGGCATCTGGTTTAGGAAGTGGATACCACTTCTGCTTCCAAACCTGAAGCAATCTGGAAGTTTCTCTAAACACCATCCATAATGGGTAACCATGATGGCATTTGACACAGCTATGGCACAATGTTCAGCATCACAGCAACTCCAACTAATTCAGTACAGCAAGTAGAGAAACTGCTGTACCACTTAAAGAATGTTAATGCTAACATTAATGAATCTGGCCTGAAGACCCTATCGAGTTTTAAAGATAGGCCCAATGAATGCTGTTGACAATGATAATCCAAGTATTCCCTCCACCCTTGGGCCCTTGTTGGTTAAATGGGCAAGTGAAACTCCCAAAAGATACCACTCATTTGTGGAGTGAAAGACCAGTAACACAAACCGAACATTTTCTGCTCTAGTCTTTATTATTTTCTTTCTTCTGGAAAATGTAGGGTTTGCTTGTTGCGCTTTTCTAATTGCTGAGGATGGTGAAGATGGGGTTGATTTTGGTTCCACTTCGTGCCTTGATGGCTACCTTTACCTCTCGGCACTGCTTTTGCTGTGCCACATATATATTGTTTTTGTATTTTAATCCTCATTTGTTTGAAGACATATTTTGTTTCATTTCTGTTATTACCCAGTAGTGTTCAAGCAGTGCATTACTTAGTTTCCATGTGCTACATATTTCTGTCTTCCCAATGTTTGTAATTGTTTTGTTCTTAACCATTCTATTGTGAGCATCAGATTTTTTTCTCTGAATTTGTCTTATTTGCATAATATTTCTTGACATGATTGTGTTATGATTTATTTAAATCATTCTTGGGCTCTTTGCAATTTTGTTCCAGTGAAATGAGCACTTCAGTGAATAAATTTTCCATATATTTCTGAAATAGACA